AATTAGCATTGGTGGTACGCATGGAACCATGATTATGATTTTCAGTTGCATATATACTAATGGTATATGATGAATTTGGAAGTGGAGTTCCTGGCACATTAGTTTTTTGACAAGATGGTGTAGTGTACAAAATTTTCTTGAATAAATTTATGAGGCAGCAGTTAAAAGTGATACGAAATATGAGAAGATGATAGATGACACTCCAGTAAATTCAGTTCTTGATCATCCGTCATGGGTACTCTACAGCATAAACTTTTATGCTCTTGGAACGTGTCCAGAAGTAGGAAAAGGGCGCTACTTATGAGAATTTATGAGAATATTCTGGCTTTGTTTAAAAGGATTTTCAATGAATTTGAAGAAGAAGATGATGATGGGAAGTAATTTGTAACATATTTTAAAAATGCTCACTGCAAATGAGCGACTACTGGGCTTTTTGTTATAGGAAGGGATTAGGAATAATACTAATATGTATTTAGAAAGTCTCCACAATCAACTTTCGACAAGAAAATTCTTAAAGAGAATGGATAAGGCCATTGACATGCAGTCTGTCTGCAGTAAAAGCTCTTAGTCAGAGAAACGAAGGATAAGTGGAACTTCTGTATCAACAAACCAGAAAGATATAGGAGGAAGCTATGAAAAAAGTGCATACTTACTACTAGAAATCAGGTCCAATAAATAGTGAAATATATCACTATATATTCTATGTTGCCAATATATATTATATGAGCACAATTCTGAGAAGAAAAAGTAACTGGATCGGAACTCTTCTGCAAAAGGAGTGCCTCCTGCACGATGTCGACGAGTGTAAAATAAAAGGAATAGAAGGAGTGGGAAGAAGAAGAATGCAGATGATTGACAACTTACGCGAGAAAAGAAAATACAGGTAACTGAAAGCCGAAGCACAGGATCAAGAAGCATGGAAGCAGAAATTTGGAAAGAAAAATACATGAATAGTAGTAATGGGAATGATAGATGAAGGGTAAGGAATTCATTTATTTGTGGTAGCTCTCACACCATGGACCTGCCTTCGTACAGACTACCATTTATTATTATTATATTACTATATGTGCATGGTTATTCAGCAAAATCAAACATGCAACGGTACTTGCATGAGAGGCGAACAATGCAAGATCTACTTTCTTAGCATTTCTTGCAACTGTGCAAGAAGTTTTCTAATATTTAGAAGATTCAAATATGAATAGCACTGGAGATGATATAGAAGCCAAGGGAGATGATAATCTATCTCGGATTTCTAATCCTCAGATTTTATGCAATAAAGATCTTAGGATGAGATGGAGTCTTAATTGTATATGTAATAGATTGAATTGTAACGACTTTTGAGATCATAAATGAACATGTGAAGAACCTTTTTGATTCAAACAATATTTTATTATTATATATACAGAAATACTCCGTTTAATGCGGGGGATATGTTCCATCAAAGTAGAGCGCAATGCGAAACAGCGCTAAACGAGCCTATTTTTACATGGAAATTGGTTTAGTATTAAATTTTAAATGTGATTTCTACTAAATAAATAATACCACATTATTAATTCTTGCAAAAATAAAGACAAAATATAAGTAACAAACCGAATATTCTTTGAAAAAACAAATAACATTCTAAGTCAGACATTTTTAGTTAGCTTTCCGCGTTTTCAGTGTTTTGCCCTTTTGTGACAAAAGCATCTCATGTTGTTTCACTTTTTTTGCGTTGTTCTCTTAAAAGTTTATCATAAATGGATAGAGCACCTGTAACACAACGCCTTGCTTTAGAGATCCTGTCAACATTCGGATCATTCTCAATGAATTGATCAATTATTTCAGTTATGGTAGACAAACTCATTTTTTCAAGTGGTAGTAGTTGGAAAAGAGTAATTTTGGAGCCTAGCGTACACGGACGATCTGGCAATTTTGGCAACAAGCGAAAAGACCTACAGGAAACAATGAAGCTGCTAGAGCGGTACTTGGAGAAAAAGAAAACTGGTGTTGATTGAAGAAAAGTACGAACTGTAAATGGGTCAATATAGAGGAAGTTAAAAGGTTTACGTATCTGGGGTACCATATCCAAAATCTGACAAGAAAAGCAAATACAGTAATAAGAAGTACGTGGAATCTCGGCAAAAGTTATTTCACAATAACTTCAGCTGAAGGATAAAGATGTTGGACGGTTTGTTAGTCGGAGTGTTGGCTTACGCCGCAGATATTTTGGGTTGGAGAGAGATCGCCGAGCTTGAAAGAGTACAGAAGAGATACTTGAAATGGATACTTAGTCTGGAGTCCTGTACTCCAGACTATGAACTCTATAAGGAAGTAAAACGCGACGAAAGGTGAAGATATCTAAACAAGTTGGATGAAAGGAGAAGATATCTAAACAAATGTGGATTTGACCAGGGGGGCTTCGTACAGTGATGCAATACTTGTTTATCTATGGCAACCGTAACGTATGTGGGAGAGTACTGCGGGAGAGAAGAAGCAAACAGGAACGCTGGAACAAGCTGTAAAGCTCCAGATACAATTGAGAGATAATGACAAGAGAACTTCCGGAGTATTTCAGAGGCTGGAACAATGGTTGCGATCAGAGAGTAATGGCGCGGTGTGGCAGCATGGAGCATAATAACAAACATTGGCTGAGCCCTGAAGAAAGAAGTTGTGTGCTGCCCGGAAAGGAGGAGGACACAGTTGAGCATTGGAAAGAAAAATGTACGATGCTAGAGAGAACAAACATTTCTCTAGAAGACATTCTCAGGGGCAAAAACAACAAGAAAAGTCTAGGTTGGTTGAAAATAATCGACCGCATGAGGAAAACAAAGAAAAGAGTTACTTGTACCTCTAGTCTAGAACGCTAAAGTTATTAGATCCTTGATTAGGTTTTTACTTACATATAATCCGCGGGGTTGATTTCAGTTAAAGTAGGTTTAAGGTATTATTGTCGTTTAAGATATTGTTGTATTTCTAGGCCGTTAGGTTGAAATAAATAAATAAATAAAATATAGATTTCTTTTAATAGAAACTAATTAATAATTAGACTAGAGTGTAGACTCTAATATTTTGTCATAGTAAATCATTAGTCATAGCTAATAACTATAATTTTTTAGGCTTGGTGTAATCACAAATCTATGCGTGACTAAAAATGCAACTGAAACCAAAGCAACCACTGTTTCAGCCCGCAATTCTGTATCGATTTTGAAAATACAAAAACCGTTCGAAAGATATTGGTTGGGAATCGACCTGATTAATTTTCTGTTAAAAAAAATTCGACGATTTTTATGATTTTTTTTGACGGTAGATACCATAGTCTTATAGATCATACTAAAATATTATGGACCTACGCCAAGTTGATTAATTTTTAAAATTCGTCAAAGAGCCGTTTCTTTGTAATTTGAAAAAAAGTGTTGAACTTTTCGTCCACATTTAAGCTCGTACTGCTCAATCGATTTAAAAAAATCAAAAACTGTTTGAAATATATTAGTTGGAATTATACTGATTAGCTTTAGGTGAAAATCTACCGAGCCGTTTTCTTGTAATTAACTGTTGAAAAAAGAAATTAGGCCGATTTTTACGGAACTTTTTTTGGCGATATATATCATGGTCTTATAGAACTTACTGAAATATTACGGCCTTACGACAAGTAGTTTAATTTTAAAAATTCATCAAAATTTGAGAAAAGTTTGCTAAAATTTGAGAGTAGTTTTTTTTTGACGTTTGTTAAAATTAAAATTAGACGATTCACTTGGTATAACGATATAGTGTTCGTTCATTTTCAATGATGTGTGATAAATCCACCCCAAATACTTATACTTAATTACTCATAAATTAATTTATTTTTTATTGATTAAGTCGATTATTTACACGTATCGGGAAGGTCATGTAACTTGCCTCAAGGCAAAATACCAATACCAACTATCTATGGTTTATCTATGGTTTCAACACATTTTGCATACTTTTAAAAAAATGGATGTATGTGTATGAGTGAGTGTGCGCGCGTATGTATGTTTGGATATCATTTTTTGTTTACGGATCAACCGTTGATTCAAAAAACATTCGATTCGAATTAACGAGGCAACGTGCTAATTAGTTTCTGGCAAAGGCCGTTTCGGAGATACGGAGCAAAAAGTGCAAAAACAACTTCGTTCAAGATGTTTGTCAAAAATTTATACTGTCGCCATCTGTCGGAAGCGTTCCGTAACTACTTGAAGCTTTTGTCGGCCATTTTGTTTGAAACGTCAGTGTCTATCTTATTATCTATGCGTCAGTCGCTGTCGGCATTTTTAGTGAACGCCCAACGAGTGCAAGATTTATTTTCGTATTTTATTTCGGTTTATTGTGCAAACATTTCGATACTTTTGAAGTATTGAGAACTGTGAATAGTGTTTCTGATTTATTATTTATGTAAGTATAGTATATTTTATGTGATAATTTTATTTTATTGTGTACCTATACTAACCTATAATAATGGAGAGATGTATAAATCATATATTTGTGGGTGCGCGTATGTGTACATGAATGTTATTTGTGAATGTGGATATATTTTTATCCTGTTAAAAAGCATATACGTAAATAATTTACACATATACTTATTTATCTACATATTTACAAACACAACTACAGGTAGGGATCACCCCAAGAGCCGATTATCTTGTAAGCCATATAATTCAATTTGCCAATATTTTGTTTTGCTTGCCCTATTGACAAATAAAAATATAGTTATTATAAAATATTTAATTTGTTTAACAGTTGAATCATCTAACTGTACAATTCTGATTAGATTTAATATCTGAAATAATAATTTGAAAATATACTGCTAAATCTAAACTTTTGAAAACACTATGTTACTTACTGCGGTTTCCAACCTGTGGGGCGCGTTTTCCTTATGGGGGCGCGTACATCTGCTTCCTAATACTATTTTCGAAAAAAAATTTTTTTTTGAAATGATATTAATTAATTATTATGATTGCCTTGAGGCAAGTTACATGAACTTCCCGATATGTGTAAATAATCGTCTTAATCAATGAAAAATAAATTAATTTATGAGTCATTAAAAGTATTCCGAGTGGATTTATTACACATAATTTAAAACGAACGAACACGTTAACTCGGAGTATTTTCTAAAAGCAAATTTTCAAAAATCAATAATTTTTATAATATAACCAGTTTCCATAGGACTTTAATGGTTTAGTATGCTCATTAAGACCAAGTACTCTATCGTTATACCGAGTAAATCATCTAATTTTAATTTTAACAAACATCAAAAAAACTATTCATTAAACTACTTGTCGTAAGGCCGTAATATTTCAGTAAGTTATATAAGACCATGATATATATCGCAAAAAAAGTTCCATAAAAATCGGCTCTAATTGTTTTTTTAACAGTTAATTACAAGAAAACGGCTCGGTAGATTTTCATCTAAAACTAATCATTTTTATTCCCCACTAATATCTTTTGAACAGTTTTTGATTTTTTAAAATCGATTCGATAGTATGAGCTTAAATGTGGACGGAAAGTTTAACACTTTTTTCCAAATTACAAAGGGACGGCTCGGCCAATCGTCGTACTAAACTAACAAACGATAGTCTTTATCAAAATACATCGAATGGCTTTTGATTTTTTGAAATCGGTCCAGCCGTTTTTAAGAAAACGTCGATTTACCGCAAATAATATGTTCAAATTTGGTCTCATTCGATTCAGAATGGCTTGAAAAGTCGAAAACATAAAATTAGCGAATCGGATTTTTTGATGAAAACATAAACTTCTTCTTCAGGAAGTTAAATAGTTTTTATGTATATTTTTACATAATATCATCACATATTAACTATATAACTCTGATATCAGTTTATGATTCATAAAATTAATTTGTTGAGAAAAATAATGCGGGCGCAATATTTTTTTTTATTAGAGCAGGAAGGCGCAACAATTTTTTTTTGCTAGAGCAGGGGACGCGGTGCAAAAAAGGTTGGAAACCACCGGGTTGCTATATATTTATTTTACATACTAATTTGCGTTATAATTACCACAAAAATTGGACACAGTAATAGTAATAATAATAAAATCTTATTATTTTTATATGCAGTAAAGAATGCATTATAAGCTAAACCATATATATTTATTATAATAATACATATTTTATTTACAAAAAAAAAAGTTTTAGTATCTGCGAACTTGTGTATTTTATATATTTAAAAATACAGAGGTTTCCAACGTTTTCGTAGTACACCCTGTTTTATTTTTCGAACAATCTAATTTGATACTTTTAGTGGATATTACAATCCACCTATCAGGCTAGAAATTAATACAATTTATTATGTCAAAATATGCACAAAAACTAGTGGTGTGTATGGCATCGTGCCTTAAGGCAAATTGCTGGAACTTTCCGTACCGTAATGAAATATTCGAGGAATATTAAATGTTTTCAAATAGATTACCATAAATACTGGAGCTTTCATTATTCTTATTTTATAGACAAAATATAAGAGCTTGTGAAAGTAAAAAAACATTGTTTAATATTTATAAGAATTTTATAAACTGAATTGCAAAGTTAAAATTATTTATTTTAGTAGAATTAAAATTAAAATCCGAATTATTTACAATATTCAAAAAACATTTTTTTTCGAAATTAAAAAAAAATGTTTTCTATCTTCAAAAGAATCATTCAAATCAGATGCTTCATTCTCTCAAAAACTGTCATTTTTGCACATTTATCTCCGTATCTCCGAAACGGCTGGACCTGCCTTTGCCAAAAACGAATCACCACTTCTCCCCATCATTACGAATCATTTAAATCGAATGCTCCGTTCTCTCAAACACTCGATTTTTATTTTCTGCACCATTTGCTCCGTATTTCCAAAACGGCTGGACCTGCCTTTGCCAAAAACTAATTAGCATTCTTCTTCTTTTCAATAGCAATCGAATATTTTTTGTGCTATTCAAGTCGGTTGATCTGAATTGTGCCCATACACACACATCCATTTTTTTCTAATTATAAGGTTAGGCCAAAATGTTCAGAAAGCCCCTAAAACGTAAAGATATGCAAAAATTTTCAATTTTGATTTTTGGACTTACCCTATGGGTAGTTAATAATTATTTACTCATCATTTTTTATTTCATTTCAACGATTTTGATTTATTTTTTGAAAATAATATTTTGAAAGCAGCTGTACGCCCTCCTTGCAACAACATCGCGCCCCACAGATTGGAAACCACGGCTATAATACATTTTGGAAATTTATTAGAAGTAAATCATGTTACTATAAACAATGATATAAATCACTTGATACGTCTAGAAAAAATACGTTTAGAAAATTTAGAAATACAGATTTTCTGTCGAGAACAGGAATTTTGAACGTGAGTTATACTAAAATTTAGAAATTGCTAAAAAAATATAACCTACAATGGCAAACGAAAATGAGACATTATAAAAAATGCGATGAATTTTGTATGTTTCTTTCATTTTCTTTGGCATTTGTAGATTATAATTTTTTCTGCAATTTCTAAATTTTTGTTCACATGCAGTGTAATAAATATATAGAAAAATTATCTTAGACACTAAATCGTTAAATCTGAGCACCCTATATGAAATATTTTGTGGAACCGCGTGGTAAAAATTCGGCCCTGTCTTTGTTTATTTGTATATGTATATCATACACATAGATCTAATTTTATGTATACATGTATAGCCATGTATAAGTCTCCCAGCGAATCTGTTTATTTTTATCTAATCTAATATTAGATTGTTATAATTGGCGAGGTGATATTGTATTCCAAACTTATTACTCAACGTCATTCTCATTTCATGCATTATATCATTAAATATTTATATTAAGAGTCATAAATATATTTGTTTAATGATAACTGATATGCAAAAATCTTTAAAAAAAAGATACAGAAGAATTTCACATGATGGTCGACTCATCGCTTATTAGATATGAGTCATGAAGACCTGGATATGCAAATTATACGTCGTGTCATTAGTTTAAATTATTAAATAATTTAAACCAGAAATAGTCATACAATTATATTATTTTCTATATAAAGTTAATTCCATGTATAATCACGATAACTTGTACTCTAATTCAATATTGTGAAAACATTTTGTTTTAATCCATAAACAAAATATTGATAATGTAAAAATAATGATAATGTAATCTTCCATTGTTTTCTGATAAACACCAAATGTTTTTTTGACTTGATAATGCTTACATCCTATATATCTTTATACTAAATTTCATGTTTTTCACATCCTATATATTTTTATACTAAATTTCAAGTTCTTAACTTCCCGTAGTGGAATTTTTTATAAATCTTTACGTTTTAGAAATTTCTGAACATTTTGGCATACCTTAGGAAAAATGGATGTACGTGTGTGTGTACGTGTCAGAAACCTTCAAAACGTGATGATATGCGAAAATTTTCATTTTCAATTTTCGGCTCATTACTGTAACTTATCCTACTGGAAGTTAAAAATAATGCTATTTGGCGGTCAAAACTGAAAATATGTACATAATATTATCAGTATTAATAGTAATTAATATAAATTTTAATAGTAAGTATGAATATTGTTTACATTTTTATGGGTTCCGTACCAATGTTTATCTGATAGACTTCGATGCGGCGCTACGCGCTTAGATATTTCTTCTCTAAAAACACCCACGCTGTACGATTGCTTTAAAATAAAGTTCAAAATTTTCAGAAAAATTCAAAGTATAATTTTTTTTTGTCAAAAATTTCAATATATCTCACTTTTTTCAAAGTTTTCAAAAAAATTTAAAGCTTTTTTTAAAAAATTAAATTATGATATGGTAGGATCTACCAATTTGCTTTAAGACACAATGTTATTATGTTATATTGGGAAAATTTTTGTTGTAAAACTGTTTCTTTTAACTTTTCTTTCATGACTTCGTGCAGATACCCACTTCTAATATTAGTTACATCAAAGTACAGTTGGACATTGCAAGACGCATTTAAGGTTTGTTCCCTGGAAAATAGCTTTGACGGGGTTTTCTTGATTTCTGCAATGATTTAATGTTTTGTCACATTATCTTGATTTTGTACACAAAAATAGTTTCTAACCCAGTGAAACGACTCATTTACACAGATTTTTTATCCCAAAAAATCTAAATAGAGATTGGTCTCTTCGGCTTGCAGCTTTGGCCTGGCAACCATAAAGTTCTATGTTCGTTATATATTTCGGTCACCTCGGACTTGAAAATTAAGGTTTAAAATATATTTCCATGTGAAAATAACTAGTATAACTAGTTTGAAGTATCATTTTGCCTTAAGGCACGTTGCATGAAATTCGCGAAATGTGTAATAATTGACTTAATCAACCGAAAATATCATTTAGATATTTAGATAAAATTTTCAACAGTTTATTTCGAAAACAAAGTTTTCGCTGTC